GCACTCTTAACCACCCTAGCAACTTTTCTGTGAATGACGATTTCAGCGTCGCGAGTCATAAATGAAGAAAGCAGTTTTTAGCCGTGAGTTTCGAAGAAATAAAGAAGAACCTTTTATTTTGGCAGCATTTGAGAGAAAATACAAATAGCACTGAGAATTGCATTGCTGTTCTCTAGGTCCTTGGTGAAGAAAATTGGGAATGGGAAATTTTTATTTTTTTAACATCAAAGAAGGGAATCCCATCAACCCAAGTGTAATTTTTTGTTAATATTTTCTGAAGTGAGAATATCAATGTTGTAAAATTTATATTCCTTGTTACTAGGGAACTCATTATATGACGAGCTCTTGTACTGTTGCTTCAGTCTCTTTCCGTTCACAAACTAAAGAGCAGTAATTGGACCGCATTAAACAGGAAGGAACTAAGCAACATCAGCTATTGCCAAATTTAATTGGCCAATTTAATTTCTTACATGAAAACAGTTGTGCTGATTTTCGTGCAAATTTCAGTGAAACTTCTTCATGGTACGAGGCATATTTCTTAAAATTGTCAAAGAAAACCGAACAAACTTTCTCTCGAAAAAAATTTAATTGCCCAGTTAAAATTGGCAATAGCTGATGTGGCTTGTTTCCTTTCTGTTAAAAGCAGTCCAATTCAGTTTTAATTATGCATGATGTTAAGCGTCCATCCGACGTTTATTGAAGTAAAAAGTTCTAATAGAATGCGTTGTAACTTCCACTCAGATGCACCGTGCTGAAGCTAAAGGTAGTCCCCCCCTTCCAGGACACCCCTCTCTCTACGGGGAGTGAGTGCAGCTTATGTCTGGCAAAAATACGAAGCCAGCCCTGGACTTCGCGGTAGAATCATAGTTTAAATCACACTTATCTGCCCAATTTTGGTAGCTGAATGTTTAATACATTAAAATCAAATTCTGGATTTGCAGTACCTAATTTTTCTCTTAAATTTCGCAAAATGAAAAGTAAAAGTAATGTTTGAATTTGATCTTAGCTGTATTTTTACTTATTCTCTTCATTAATTATGATTTCTTGTGAGAGTTGGAATTATACAACATGGATACCATTTTTTTTACAGGAGCATGGTCACGAAATGAAGGCGATGCCACTCCTATCATCATGGATGTTTTCTTGAACGAAGGTACTTTGGATGATAATCTAGATTCAAGTAATAAAGAAAATGTAGATCTGAATGATTTACCGTTAGATTTAACAATGATTTTTAGTGAAGAAGTAATCGGCACAAGTACTGCTCTATCTACTCTAGACCCCAATCCTGACCTAGATGCTGACCTCGATTCAAACCCTGATTCCAGCCCTGATTCTGACTATGTGCCAATCCCATCAGAGGGGGAGGAAGAAGGTTCTGGAAGTCCCATCATCACCAGACCAAGTCGCCCATCAAAGGGAAGAAAAAGACTGGTTCCCTCCCAGGCAGTCGTTGGCTCCAAAAAATTACGGGCCAGCAATGAAAAATATTTCACATATAAAAAAGCTCCTGTGGAGCCAAAAGTTTTCAAAGATTACAAGTGTAAGAGGCAATATTTGAAAGTGAAACCACCTGTTGAGGGGGAAATATTAGACTTAAGTAAACCGAAAACATCCGACCAGCCGGAAAAGCCTCAAAATCCCTACTGCCGGTTGGTTTGCCCTCTAAATTTAAGCTCTGCTGCCAAGGAGAAGGTTTTTAATAAATACTGGGCACTGGGTGACTATAATAGTCAAAGTATGTTTATTGTGGCAAATGTCACTGAGAGAGTGAAGGAGAGAATGTATAATAAAAGGAGCTGTGCCAGCACAAAAACCAGGAAAAGGGCTATAAATAAGGAATTCTCAAGAGTATATCACCTCAACTCTGTCCCAGTCTGTAGGGAAACCTTTATCAACACGCTGCAAATCAGCTCGAAGCGAGTTGACACTGCTTTGAAGAAGGTTCGATGTCTTTCGCTCCAGGACCAGCGGGGGAGGCCACAGGGGGGTTCAAATGCCTTGACCCCTTTGCAACTAAAGCAAGTGAAAAACCACATAGAAAAATTTCCAAGATATAAGTCGCATTACCGACGGTCAGAGTCAGAGAGCGAGTTCTTGGCCGCGGATATGAACTTAGTGAGAATGTATGAGTTGTATGTTGAGGAGATGATAGGAGAGAGTGAGTCGGAAAAAATTGAAGTATACAGGAGTGGTGATAGTAGTGTAAAAAAAAACATAATCAAGGAAGTAAAAGCTGTAAGCTTATCCAGTTACAAAAGAATATTTTACCAGCATTTCAATTTAAAATTCAAAACCCTAAAAAAAGACACATGTCAGCTGTGCGATAGCCTAGCTGCAAAATTAGCTAGTGCTACAGGAGAGGCCCGCAAAACCCTGGAAGAAAGGCAGAAGGACCACTTCGAGCAGTGGCAATTCGCTCGAGCTGAGATGCAGCGTGATAAGGTTGCCGCCCAGAAAGACCAATCTCTTGAGTGTCTCACGTTCGACCTGGAGAAAACATTACCCTTGCCCAGAATTCCCACAAACATTGTGTTCTACAAACGCCAGTTGTGGCTCTACAATGCTGGGGTTCACTGTTTGAAAAATGGGCAAGGGTACTTTTATCCTTGGACGGAGAACCAGGCCGGACGTGGGGCCCAAGAGATTGGTTCTGTGTTACTGAAACACGTCAAAAGTAATGTCAGTAATGAGGTGAAACATCTCATATTATATTCTGATTCGTGCGGAGGACAGAACCGTAATATTAAGATTGTCCTGCTGATGAAAGCGTGCTTGGAGCAGCATCAGTCATTATTGAGTATAACCTTCAAATTCCTTATTCCTGGGCATACTTACTTGCCCAATGACACCGATTTCTCGGATGTTGAATGCGCATTGAAATATAGCCAAAGGCTATATTTGCCGGAAGACTACCTCAACGTCATGAGGAGCGCAAGAAGGAAAAAACCGTTCATTGTCACCAGGATGCAGGCCACCGACTTTTTCAGCTCGGAAAATTTAGAAAAATTAATTGTCAACAGAAAAAAAATTGAGAAAAAGGAGGAAGCTGCAGAGGAAGGTTCGGATAAAATCAATTGGCTACACATTAGAGAGATTAAGTTATTTAAAGCAGAACCGTGTAAACTCCACTGCAGGACTGATTTTGTAAGCGAGTACAAAGTTGTAGATATCGAGAGAAAAGCTAGCAAAAAAAGTAAAGAACCCAAAAAAAGTGTTTCTTTTACCAATGCTCTGAAATTGATGTGGCCAAATGGGAAGAGCATTGCTGCCCCAAAACTCGCCGATTTAAAAGATTTAATGCATCTAATACCCGAGGATGCGAAAGCATTTTATCAAAATTTAACCGGTGACAATGATATAGTTGATGACATAGACGGCTTCTGCTCTCCCCTTGATTTTGAGGAGGAAGAAACTGAGCAAGTATGAATATTGAGTAAAGAGTTACACAAGGCACAAAGCCGAGAAATCGCTGTCATTGGGCAAGTAACAGAACAGGCAACTGGATTGCATTTTGCAAGAAGGAACCAAGAGCATTCCAATGTTGCTAGGATTATACTGCAACTTATATTCCTCACATTAAAATTAATCAATTAAAATTATTGAGACCTTGCAACAAATTAAATTTACTATCGTAATTTTTGTATTGACTTTATAGTTTATTGGGAGTAAAGATAAGACTTGTTTAGATGATCAGTTTATATTTGCAAGGTAAAAAAGTTGCACCATCTCAGCGAAATTGGATTGCTTGCGGTTCCTTTTTGCAAAATGCAATCCAGCTGCACTTGCTTCACATGGAACGCATTTAGCAAAAGGGAACCAGCACGATTACAGTGTTTTCAAAATCGTTATTTTGCATTATTTTTATTCAGAGCATTACCATTATTTACCTTTAAAATTTACACTTTTTTGGAGGGAAGGAAAAATTATTTGCCATTTTGAGAGATTTTTTAGATACTTATGAGGAAGCAACATTTTTAAAACACAGTAATTGCGCTGGTTCCTTTTTGCTAAATGCGATCCACATGCAAGCTGGTTGTCGTTGGAATGTCATGTTGTCTAAAGAATCTTCGTTGATTGCCATGTATTTTTCAGTGCTTGGAAAAATGTTTCATATGAGGGTTTCTTATCAGCAGAAGCATGATAATTCTCTCTCATACATGACCTGAGTGTGCTCTCAAGTGCTTTTTGCTCATGGGTCTGGAAAGCACCTCTGCTCTTCTTTATCATGCACAACTTTTTTCTGAAAAATTGACTGTTCCCGCAAGGAGCCTGTTTATTTATTAAAACTTTTAGTTTATCATAAACCGTGACATGATGGGATTATTAAAAAATTTTGATCGAATTGACTGCTTAAAAAAAAGAAAAATACCATAATTGAATCAATGAACATTCTGAAGATGACGTGACATCCAATTTTTTCGATTTTTCCTCCTTACTTCCTCAAGGTGTAACACTTCCTCGTTCATTCGAAAAATCCAAGAAAGCATATAAATATCATGAGCAAATCAAAATCTCATGTTCAGGAGACTTTTCTTTTAATTGATCAAACTTTACTGCCTCCTCCTGGCGAGTCCTTGTGTTTCCCTTACAAAGGGAATTTTCCCCTGTACAAGTGCAATTTCCTGTGCTTTAAATCCAGAACTCATGTTCAGGAGACTTTTCTTTTAATTGATTGAAACTTTATTGCCTCCTCCTGGGGAGTCCTTGTGTTTCCCTTACAAAGGGAATTTTCCCCTGTACAAGTGCAATATCCTGTCCTTTAAATCCAGAACTCATGTTCAGGAGACTTTTCTTTTAATTGATTGAAACTTTATTGCCTCCTCCTGGGGAGTCCTTGTGTTTTCCTTACAAAGGAAATTTTCCCATGTAAAAGTGCAATTTTTTGTCCTTTAAATCCAAAACTCATGTTCAGGAGACTTTTCTTTTAATTGATTGAAACTTTACTGCCTCCTCCGGGCGAGTCCTTATGTTTTCCTTACAAAAGGAATTTTCCCCTGTAAAAGTGCAATGTCTTGTCCTTTATCACTGGTCCTCACTACGTACAATCTCTACTGACTGTACTTCAAATTTTTTTCCCTCTTACGCTGATTCCCCTCTTGCTCGTTCCATTGATCTACAAATTGATTTTTAGCTAACTTTAAGTAACTAAAACTGAAGCAAACTAACACTTATCATTGGAAAAATATTTCTCTGTCTTGATGATATAAGAAGAAATTAATATTGTCTGTACATAGACATTTTTAATCATTATTATCATGAGGGTACCTTTATCTATATGTAGTAATTTTCTGAAGTTACTTTTTTATTATAAAAAGTTAAACTATTTTAGCAACTTTGAAGTGAATTTAGTTCCCTGCAGCTGAACTGCACAAAGATATTTATTATTTTTGAAAATTGATTTTTTATTATTTTCCTTTGGTATCATTTTATTTTTCGTTATTTTTTTGGTTCTTATTATTTTATCATTTTATCATTTTTCATATTTTATTTTTTTATTTCGTTTCTCCAGATTCATCTACACGCCAGGGACACACCTTCATTTCAGATGAGCTTGTTCTGCATTAATGAATGACACCTTTATTGCTGATGGGCTTGTTCTTCATTAATGTGTGACGCACCTTCATTGCAGATGGACTTGTCTTGCATAAAAGTGTAAAAAAGCATTTACACATAAAAGTGTAAATAAGCATATACACTTTTATATCTCTCATCGGTAAGAGCCATAAGGCCATCTTAAAAAAAATTACAAGTCTTGCGTTTATCACAGACTTTAAAATAATAATAGTCTAAATAGACCGCGTTCAACAGAGAAGACCAAGCCTAATCAGCTTTTGCCAAATTTAACTGGGCAATTTAATTTCATACGGCAAACGTATGTGCAGATTCCTTCGATAATTTAAGGAATTTGCTTCGTACAAGACAGAAAATTCACTGAAATTTTCACAACTGTTTTGATGTAAAAAATTAAATTGCCCAGTTAAATTTGGCAAAAGCTGATGTGTCTCGGTTCCTTTCTGCCTAAAGCGGTCCAAGTTACCTGCTCTAATCATTCCTCATTACCTTAAAATACGTTACAATCTCTAAGTATTATTGGAATGAAACCTGACTACTTTTAAACTAGAATTCTCTGCTGACGAATAAGTAGGTCATGCTAAATCTATTTAATAATGAGACAGTCCAAAAATCTGAGGTCTTAGCTTCAAGACCAGTAATTTTCTGAAGTTACTTTTTAATTAAAAAAAAGTTGAACAATTTTAGCAACTTTGAAGTGAATTTAGTTCCCTTCGGCTAAACTACACCAAGATATTTATTATTTTTGAAAATTGATTTTTTATTATTTTCCTTATTTGGTTTCATCTTATTTTTCGTTATTTTTTTGGTTTTTATCGTTTTTCATATTTTATTTCTTATTTCATTTCTCCAGGTTCATCTACATGCCAGGGACACACCTTAACTGCAGATGAGCTTGTTCTGCATAAAAGTGTAAATAAGCATTTACACTTTTATATCCCTCATCGGTAAGAGCCATAAGACCGTCTTTAAAAAAAGATTTCAGGTCTTGGGTTTATCACATGCTTTAAAATAACAGTCAAAGTGTCTAAGTCTAAGCTAATAAGACAGTCAAAAAATCTGAGGTCTTAGCTTCAAGACCAGTAATTTCCTGAAGTGACTTTTTAATTTAAAAAAGTTGGACACTTTTAGCAACTTTCAAGTGAATCTCAGTACTTCAGTGCACTTTTCATTTGTACCAATTTATGTCAAATTATATGATGGCTTTGCCAGAATTCGGTTTTGTTATTGAATTCGTATTTTTTGGTTCGTTTGTTTTTTGTTTATTAATATTCCTGGACTAATTCCAGGTTTATATTAAAGTGATTTATTTTGGTTTACTTGTATTTACAAAGTAAAATATTTTTGCTGACTGAAACTCGTGACAGAAAATCTGAGGCCTTAGTTTCAAGACCACACTTTTTATTTGTGCCAATTCATATCAAATTGTAAGATGGGATGGCCAGAATTTTGTTTTCCTAGTGAATTTATATTTATTTCTTTGTTTTTTATTCATTAATATTCCTGGACAAATTCCAGGCTTATAATGAAGTGATTATGGCTATTATAGCAAGTGATCAATTTTTGTTCGGTTGTATTTGCAAAGTAAAATATGTTTTATTTTTGTTGACTGAAACTACTCTACTTTCTTTCCTCATCCTGTTTCATTGTTATTTTTGGATCCAAATGAGGACTTCAGAACCATCAATGTACCTAATTAATTCATATTTACTTCTCATTAAGTTCCTCTTGGATGGACTGCATCTAGCAGGAGTAATTGAACTGATTTATTTCTGGCAGGAGAACGGTTGTGCGCATTCCTTCAAACACTTCAGGATATTTTCCTTAAGGAGTTAAGTGGATTCCCTGAAATTTTCGAAACAATTTGTGCAACAGTTCTCCTGTGAAGAAGTAAAGTGTCCTGTGAAATTTGGCAATAACTGATGTGCTGTGGTTCCTCTCTACTAAACGCAGTACTACCGTCTTGAGCTGACCACAATTAAATCAAAGAGAACCAAAACATACCAACTCGGAAAAATGAAAGTAATCAAGACACACGAAAATGCACAGTAGATGAAGAAATTAGTCTGAGAAAAAGATTTTTGTTGCCGAAATACTAGCACTTGAGGACATTTTAAAGGTCCAAGATGGAACAGATGCGCTAACTTCAATGACCTATATAAAGATTGACCGTCTTTGATGAAAATTGAACATTGTCGAGTTACCGAGTTGGTGTGTTTTCGAACTCACTGATTCAATTTCCCATTCATATACCCTCCTTGAAAATTGAGGTTTCAGTGTTTTACCAGAGTAGATAGTGTTTAAATTATTTTCCTCTAAACTTTGTCAATCTAGTGTGGTCTCTTTCTGTTTAAAGTGAGTCAAAATTTCAGAGCTTCCGATTTCAGATACTGCTGGTGAGACGGTATAACATGCACCTTGATTGCAGCGTTTCAAAGTTTCTACTCATCTTTAACATTTTCAAAGTAGACTAATCAATAATTTTTCATGAAGTTCTAACAGCACATTTTGGAATCCTTTGTATCTATAGATGTATGCCAAATTTCACAATATAGCTAAAACTAGATCGATTTCCAGAATTAATTAAAAATTTAGCAGGCAATTTTCAATAAAGCAAACCAAAATTCGCATATTTTTAGTACCACCAATATGTGGCTTCTCAGCCTTGCCCCCCACAAACCCCAAAAAAATAAAGACCAAATCGAAAAAACATTGCTAATCTCACAAGATGTAAACAAATTCATGCAAATCTTTCTTCTGTTGACTGCTTGGAGAGGCATTTACAATTTTTGAAAACAAAGGAAGAAAAAGCATAATTACTAACTCATGTAAATTAATAATAAATGGGCGTATTTAAAACAAAGGGAACTATAACTGTGAGCATTGGGACATTGGCCCTGTTATGCATGTATTCTATTGGGTCTCAGGGCTCATGTCTGAATGCACACTGTTTCTTTAGATTTAAATACTTCCTTATAAAATAATCATGGTACGCATTTATTGAAAATTCAAATTCGACTCTCCTGTGAACAGAAAAGAGAAAACATTTTCTGCGAGACTAAGAATTGGCATGATTTTGAAAAATCTTAGATGTTTTGCCATGTCTGTACTAAATCCTTTTCAGTTTCTTCCATGACCAAAGGTGAGGAAAAGGCAAATTGGACTGTGTGAAACTGCTCAGAATTAAATCATTTCTAGGTTTCAAAATGTCCATCAAAATTTTATTTCCAGATACTTCATTCTTTTTCATTGACGTATAATCCGTCTTGGTTTAAAGGTTGAATACATCAAAAAATCTCTTTTAGGTAGGCTTACTGCACAAGTCAATTGTACACAAAAGAAAAACAGTCAAGTTTTTATTTTTCATTACTTTGTACAGAAGATAAGTTTCACCATGCCATTAAGTCGAATTGAGCTTAAGGCAGTCTACAACTACTCCAAGATTTATGAGGAATTATGTGACAGAAAACCTTTTTTTCTTTAAGATGCCTCAATTAGTAAAAAAAGACAACTCCTCAGAAATTAGACGCTTCAAGAGGGTAAAACCTCGGGCATTGGCGAGCCCCCAGGTCTGGGCCAATGGGTGTAGGTTAACACTCAAATTCTTTATGAATGATGTAAACTACTCAGTCGCTTGAAACATCCTCTTTATTCAAATTTTCACAAAAAATTATATTAATTTAAACAAAAAAAATATATATATATTTAGTCGATCCACAAAACTACCTGATGTCCAATCAGCCTACTCAGTTCCTGCAAAACAAAGAAAAGAACTTTATTTAGACAGACTACCTAGACAAAACTTCTCTCAGAAGTATTGCTGAGATCATGTCGGACTTCCCCTTCTCCTCAATGTAGAGTGCAACGAATACAAATAAAAAATACTGACTTTAAAACTCGAAACCTTACAATTTACTTTTGATCAAGAAAAATGAAGATGTTGGGTCAAAATGTTCCAACACTTGGGAAAAATTAAAAGGCTGTGAAAAAGTGGAGCAACGTTTCCAGACAATCCTTTTATCTAGGTACATAGAAACATTCATGATAAAACTGCCTGAGAGGCAGTGACTCCCCTCATAGACATCTTTGTCAAGTGAAATTAAAATATATTTTCTTACTCTTTCTTTTTGGGAGTCATGGTATCATCAAAAAATTGATGCAGCTTAGTCCATTCTTTTTCAGATTCTGTTTCTTTAGACATTTTTTTGGGAGACATGGAATCATCAATGAATTGGTTCAGTTTTGCCCAGCCATCCTCTTCTTCTTTTTCTTGGCTTTTCCTCTTCTCGACCGCTCTCTCCAATTCTATCAACTTCTTTCTCAATACGTCATTCGCTGCTTTTTCTTCCAAATATTTCCTTTTCCATTCTTCAACTTCAAATTCTAGTTTCTTTGGACGTGCTAAATGGCTACTCCTCTTTCCGTACTATCATGACTCCTGTTCAATTCACCCTGGATTCAAAAATTTCCGGTCAATTTCTCTAATTTTTAAGTACCTAAGTGCGTCCATGGTAAGTTGCTTTAGTTGCAAAAAGCTTCTTTTGTGGAAATTTTTGGTTTTCAAAATACTGACATATTTTTTTTGTATTTTTTTCCCCTTACCTAGGTATTAACATTATATGGGTATTTTTTTTTTTTTTTGGGGGGGGGGGGTTGTTCATCTAAACAATGAGCAACAGTCAAGAAAACTCAGTTGGGATGGTCAGAAACCTAATCTAAATGCAAGAGAGGTTAATTATTGGCATTAAACTTTGCATAATTTTAGTTTTGATTTATTTGTCTCCTTGAATATTTAATTTCTGTATGAGGTTCTGCTATTAAAACAGAATTCTACGCCATACAGACCATCTGACAATCATACAGATGCATGCAGACTACTTTGTCCTTGAAGGAGCCTAGCTCTCATTCACAACATTTGTAAATACTCACACTATTACTACCAGGAAAGCTACTCACCTCATCATGCAACTTTTCATCACTGCGTGCCATTGTTTCTCTTCTCTCCTGAAAGGGAAAGACCAACTTATGTTAGCGCAAAATTATAATTGCAGAACATTCACCATATACTGGGCAAATCTATTTTGTGTAGGTACCTACTTAGGTATATGAAGTTTAATCCATGTGCTTCAAGAGGAAATTAAAACTGTAAAGAAGGAGGTAAAAGGAATTCTGTGCATAGCTACACTTACTGGCTAACTTAGTTAAAAGACTGTATCAATGACTACCGATTACCTTGCCTAAAATAACTTTGGGAATTGCAGGGGACTGGTCTTGCTACTTCAGCTTAGTGAATGTGATACCTGGACTGAAATTTATCAATTTTACTTTTATGATACTAGTCCCTAGATATATTCAAATTCAAATACTGTGTCTAATTGCAAGGGCCAAAACTAGATGATTACAGTTGTTCTCACCTTGCAGTACTCAATGATTAGCTACTTAACACATATTCAGGTTCCAATGTACGTTCATCTGCTATAGCATTAAGTACTCAGTTTTTGGTACCACATTTTCTGGTCAAATCACTCATTCCCACTGAGGCTATTTTCATGTAGATATAACTCTCGAATAATAGCAGAACCTATGTATTCAAAAAGGGTGATTCAGAACTTTATTCTCTCACAGTTCTGGGTCACTACTGCGCTCTTGAAGATTCTTAAAACTGAATGGGAAGGTACATGGCACACACGCATCATTCAGCTTGGCCATACGGCATTCCATGTGAAGGCGTGGGATAGGACTCCTTTTGATAGCCATTAGCTAATAGATTATTACCTCATGGAAAGTAAATCCTTAAATAGAGAGAATCCACAAATGCAATGCATTGAAAAGGTGACATCGTACCCGGGAACTGAGTTGGTGTTATCTCCTGGGATTTCTTCGACATACCCACTAGCTCCTGATCAAAACTTAAGCAATATTTTTCAAGATCAAATATAAAGAAATCCAACTTACCTTTAATCCAGTCCTGCAAGATTCAGCAGGGAGGGGGTAGGTGGTATTGACGCGGTAGACAATAATAGGTAATTAATTGATCAAGACCACGTTTCCTAACCTTCAATATTCTCTTATCTTATCTTACTATAGTAAAAAAATATAAGGCCTTTTTTGTGTGTACGTCCGTGTCATTTCGCATGCTCATTGGTCTTTCATTAACCAATCAGAAAACTTCATTGAAAATCCCCGGGAAATTTAAATGTATTCTTCCGTAAAGGAATTAATGATAGGTAGACACGTATAAAAATGGGATGTATTTCTTCTAATTAACCAGGATAAAAAGGAGGAATATTACCTATACAGGACAGTCTTGGAAAAACGGGATGTACCTGTATTAATAAACCGGGATAACAGGAAGAATATCGATCTTTATATATCGATATTCGATACATCGTTTGTTCTAAAGCAGTATTGACTGGGATAAAACGGGATTTCTTCATAATAACCGGGAT